CGTGCGGACCTGCCTCACCTGCACCGCGTCCTTCTGCGCAGAGCACCTGCGGCCGCACCAGGACAGCCCGGCCTTCCGCGACCACCAGCTCTGCCCGCCCCTGCGCGACCTGCAGCAGCGCAAGTGCCCGCAGCACAACAAGCTCTTCGAGTTCTTCTGCAGCCACCACGGCATCTGCATCTGCTCCCTCTGCCTCCTCGGGCACAAGCTGTGCCACACCAGCCCCCTGGAGCTGGCCAAAGCCAACGCCGAGGTGAGCGGCGCGGGCAGTCGGCTCCTTCCGGGGCTTGAGCACCCCCCGAGGGGCACCCTGGAGCTCCCCTCTGCTCCCTGAAGGCCTTGCAGGGCCCTGGGTGCTGGTCGTAGCTCTGTGGAGTGCGGGGGGGAGGCTGAACCACGACTTGGCAAACTTATTGGCCCTCCAGTGTGCACTAGAGCATATCTTCGGTCGTTCCTTGCCTGTTCTTCCTCCCTCCAAGATGGTGCTCTGAGGGTCTGGGAAGGTGCTGTCACAGAGCTGATAGCCAGTTCCTGTCTTGGGCTGGGCTGGGCTGTGGTGAGCCCACCTCTGTGGGTGTCCTCCCAACGCTGAGCCCCTCTGCTGCCTGCTGCAAGGGGGTCACTGCGTGGCCTTACTGTGTATATTCTTAAGAACCAAAGAATTACAAAAGTAGCCGAGGGAGAGCTCTGGCATGTGGATAAAAGCCAGGAGGAGGTTCTCCATGGAGTGGAAGAGCAGGAAATGTGACCTTTGTGTCTTACAGCACAGCTAAAAATCAGAGGGTAGATAAGTAAAGCACGCTTGAAAAGCTTACATGGCCAAGGAGCAGTAGGTTTTAACCCAATAGTACTGAATGCTTACAATGGTGATTTAAAACTTCCTGTAGAGATGATTCTTAACCCGCTAAGCATGACCTGACAGAGCAGATGTGGCAAGTGCTTCTCTGAAATACTTTCTGATCTCTTCTGTTGCAGGCGGCGCTGAAGAAGCGGCTCATGGAGCTGCATAATCAGAATGAAAAAGCTGCTCGGGCAATGAACACCGTGAAAACAAACCAAGCCCAAGCTGTTGTAAGTGGGTAACTGTTCAAACTGCTGTCAGGTTGCTTGGCACACACTGGCGACTGCGTGTTGTTCATGCTTGTACTCCTGGGACAACAGGTGTAGTACTGAGATTGCATTGGCAGGAGGGGATGTTACTGGGAAGGAACAGAAAAAAGGAGTTTTGGCAGAGCCAGGCACCTCCTGGTGCTGATAACAACCCAATGGCACAGCCTGGCCACTGCCCCATGGCTGGGGTCTGGAGACCCAGAATTCTCCTCATTCCTTGGGAGTAAAGGAGCTTTCTTTCTAAACTACACAGAAATACGTTGGTTTTCTATTGCCTGTTTCAAGTAATCGAAGCCTGTGTGTTCCTCAAGCCTCTCCTATAGTAGTAGTCAGTACCTTGTGCACAAACTGTGTTTTTGAAACCAGTGTCTGTCTGTTCTTGTCTGCTCCAGGAGACAATTTCCAGAAAGAAAGATTTGATCCTAAGTGAGTTTTCAGAAATTAAAGTTTTACTTGAAGAAAGAGAAATTCAGATCTTGAAAGTAGTTGCAGATGAAGAAAGAAGAGTTTCAAATAAGTTTGATTATATTTACGGCGTTCTGGGAATTAAGAAGAATGAAATTCAGTCTCTCTTTGATCAGATTGAGATGGCACTGACTGAAGCTGATGACATTCTGTTTTTGAAGGTAATAAGTCTTTAAATGTGAATCCAATTCTTCGTGTTTCTAGAATGCAGAATAACAGAACCCTGCTGTAGTAGTCCTGCTCTCCAGAGCAGTTTCAAACGATGATGCAGGTGTGTGCCAGAACCTGCTATAAACAGATGTACTGAGAAGTACACAAATACCAATGAGGGAGGGCTGAAATGGTGTCTGGTAACTTCCCCCAGTTCAGCCACCGCTTCTGCTGCAAGCAGAGGGGCCAGAGGAGTGAGAGCTCATCCCCATGAGCTGTTGCAGCTCTGTGCTGTGACACTGTCTGGTAGATCTTTCAGGTATCAGTTAAGAATCAATGCATGTGGGTTGCCACTGGAATTTTGCCATGGGTTGTGTCTGGCTGAAACCTTTGGTCCTTTGAGATGAATGCACAACCTCACCCCATTTAAAGTAACTTGGTTGTATTTTCCTATGTCTGCATGAGATCTACCGTTTGTCATTTCAGAGAGCGACAGCACTACTGAAAACATCAACAAAAGATGCTTTTGTTCCTGTGGTTGAAATAGACCAAAACTTGATACATTCCTCTTACCAGTCTGCCATTAACCTTAAAGACACTTTGAAACTTTCAGTGACTCTCTCTAAGGAGAAAACAGTGGAAGGTACTGTATCACTGGGCAAAGGGGCGTTTTCTGCCTTGGTTTTGAGCTCAAATGAGGGATCTTCCCCTTCCAATCTAAATATAATTAACCCCCCCCCCCCCCCCACAAAAAAAAAAAAAAAGACATTTTAGGACTACTAATCCCTTTTAAAACCTAAAAAACCACCCCAAAACCCAGTGCAGCAAATACAGTTGGGTAATATAAACTGTGTCTTCCAACTTCTGTGGTGTTCCATTTCCACACAAAACTGCTACAGTCTGGGCTAAACTAGGAGAAAAAATGTGCCACTGTCTCTTCACTTTCATCTATACGCTGATAAGTACTGTAGTACTTTGCCCTTCTGGCACAGCTCAGCCTTTATTCCTTACAATAACTTATGCTTCTATTACACAGCAGGGTTTGATGGAGTTAGGATGTGGATTTGAGGGGAAATATAAAACACAGTGATAAGGCTGTGGTTACCCAACTGTAAAGGTGCTGATTGTGTAAGTGTAGACCAAAGACCAACTTACCAGGTTAAGCAAATGTATCTTTTGGACTTGGACGTGGGTGTCTTCTATGCAGTTTCCATCTCTGCCAAGCATCGCTTAAGTTCTATTCACATAACTGAAAAATAAGATTGAAAAACATCTTTGCTAATGCCTTCCTGTTCCTGGCAATACGAACCCTAATGTGAAATACCATTATTGCAGCAAAAGTAACACCTGGGAAAACTAAGGCCCCTCCCGTGGCTCCTCCAAACAAAACCGTAAAAAAGCCTCCAGGACTGCGTAAGTACTAAAGAACTTCACCCCCTCCTAACTATGGTTTTACCAGCAGGTAAGAGTTCAGGGAGTTACCCAAGAGCTGTTTGCTCTTGTGGTGAGGCAGTGATAATGTGTAGTGAGCACTTTGTCAGGGGAGGGTGTTTGGGCAGTTTACTAATGGATGCCTTGTGAGCTGTAAAGCACAAGCTGCACGGGTATGATGTGCATTAGCCTTGGTGTGTGCCTGTGGTGGTGTCAGCGTGGGCTGTAAAGCAGAGCTGAGCCTCCCCAGCCGCTGGTTCTGGCAGGGGTTTTTCCACTTGTACTAAACATCTGTTGGCTTGTTTGATGGGTTTGTATGTACTGAATCCTCCCTGTGAGCTGCTTATGGTCTGTTTTTTTCCTTTCCTCCTGTCACAAGAGCATACCCACAGAGAGAAAACCCCTCAGCAGACTCAAGCCACTTCGCCGGTGGAGGCAGATACCAGTAAGTGGTGATTAACAGCAGCCTTACTCAAACATTGTAATGGCCATATCTTGCCTACAGTCTAAGCTTGGGTAGACGGAGATGGTCTTTGTGACAGGTTATACTGGGGCCTTCCAGTGTTGTTTTGTCCAGATACTGGTATTAATGTGGCACTCAGCCTGTTTGGAAGATACTCCATACTCTCCTTTTGGAATAAATCCAAGCCTTAAGAAACTACTCTGTTACTTCCACTGAGCTCCTGACACATGGTCCTTCCCATTCACAAGTCCTGGGTGTGGAACACTTGGCAGGGCCTGTTGGGGATGCTGGAGTTGAATGGACTCGTAGCTCTTGTTGCTGCACTAGAAGTACTGTTGCAAAAAGAAAAGGAATAGTTTATGTGCCTCATGAACAGACTTACTACTACTTACCCTAACAGTCTGCAACCTGAATTAGAGATGAAGCTCCTTCTAGGCTTATGACCCCGTGAAATAGGAAGCAAATAGTAGGTTGTGCTTCATGTGTAGCTTTCCAGTACGGAAAAAGTCTTCAACGTGCTGGACTGTCAGCTTTATCTACTGCAGCAGCTTCACAAGAGCCACAATGATGGTGGTACAGCTGGTGTAGTCTATCAGTGGCTTCTTGGTCTCAGTAGAACTCACAGTTCACTTTTTTCCCCCCTACAGAGGAGAAAAAGAAACCTGCTAAAGTTGGTGAGTCCAAACTTTGAGCACACTTACTCTCATTTCCATTGACTGCTCTTACAATGGTAAGTAGATGGTCACTAGAATTGGCGTGTTAAGCAAAAGTTCATCTCTTGCCCTGAGAAGGCTCTTACTCGTGCCTGTGAGAGCGATCAAGCACTGAAAGAGGTTGCCTCACAACAGGGGGTTTTCAAAGCTTGATAAGAGATTGAGCAACCTGAGCTAATATTGAAGCTAATGCTGTGTGGAGCAGGAGGCTAAACCAGATAACCTCGAGAGGCCCACTCCAGCTGAGTGAGCCTGCGATGGTGTGTTAAACATGCAGAGTTTCTTCCCAGTGCCAAAGTCTCTTTTCTTCTGTTGGCACAGCACCAGCCATGGCAACACCAATTGCTGCAGCTGCTGTTCCAGCTAAAGAGCTTCTTGACAACTTTCTGAAGAAATCCAGACAGGAGCTTTTGCAGTGTAAGACACCCAACATTACGCTACTTAAAGATGAGCTTTCTCACCTACTGCACTGGTGTTATGTGCCCTCTGTAGTTATCTGACAAAACCACTTTTGAAGGGTTTTGGTTGGCTTAATAGGTTATCAGCTGGTTACAAATGAAAGAAATTTGTGGAGGAAAATGGGGCAGGAGGTTTCTAAGTGGTTCTTTTACCAGCTGAATCAAATTTATCTTCAGTGCTCGCATATCTTTACAAGGGAAATTAAGTTTTCTCAGGAATGGCTTTGGTTTTCCCCAGAACGACTGCATTAGGCTGGCCTAGAAATATGAGGTAACGCACTGGATTTTCCTTCGAAATGAAATGCAGGCTTTCATGTAAGACCATGATGGCTTGCTTAAGATACTGTACCTTTCAATGCCAGATCAACAGTCCCTTTCTTCTGCCACCATGTATGTGGGTGGTGAAGGAATCTCATGGGGATGCAGGAAGAAAGGAAACTTGCCCTCCATTTGCTCACTCTCCAACAGAGAGTTGCAGTTGATCCCAGCAGCTGTTACTGTGTCCCAGAGCACTGCCTGCACTGTGAAGGAGAGCAGAGCAGGGACATGAACACACATAGGCACAAGTGCCTAGGTAGGACAGTATAAATAAGAGTGCTTTGCTCTTCAGTACCTTCAAATGATTCATGTCATTGCAGATGCTGCTAACATCACGCTGGACTACAACACAGCTCACAACAAAGTGATTATGTCTGACAGATACACCAAGATGTCTGTCTCAGACATCCCCCTGAAGTATAACCAGCACCCTCAGCGCTTCACTGATTGTTACCAAGTGCTGGGGTTCCAGTGCTTCAAGAGAGGAGTCCACTACTGGGAAGTGGAAATGCAACAGAACAACTTCTGTGGCATTGGCATCTGCTACGGCAGCATGGAGCGGCACGGGCCGGAGAGCCGCCTGGGCCGGAACAGCAGTTCTTGGTGTATTGAGTGGTTTAACAGCAAAATATCATCCTGGCATAATGATGTTGAAAAGTGCTTACCCAATACGAAGGCTACCAAGATTGGTGTGCTGCTCCACTGTGAGGCAGGGTTTGTGATTTTCATGGCTGTGGGGGAGAAGCATAACTTGATCTATAAATACGAAACCGAGTTTACTGAAGCCCTGTACCCTGCCTTCTGGTTATTTTCCAGTGGCACTGTTCTGAGTCTCTGCCAAATGAAAGAGTAAAGTCTTGTATCTTAATTTAGTTTGCCTAAGTACTTCCATGCAGATAATCAGGCCTGTAGCAGCTCTTTGTATGTCCTAGTCTTAGAAATGAAAATTATTAGCTCTTTCAAGCAGTTTGGGAAATCTGCTGATTCTTCAGTCTGAGTTGCTCAAGTATTTAGATAATGATTTAGTAAAATGATGATAGTAAAAACTGCGATGAAAGGTTTTGCAAAGACCTTGACTGTCCTTCTAAAAAGGTGTGAATCGTTATCAAAAGTCTTTAGTAGCTGCTGTGGCTTCCATGGTTTGTTGTAAAGGAACCCCAGAATTAATTTCCAGATCTAAATGTGTTTCACAGGTAGCAATAACTCCTTTGAGAAAGAAACAGGCAGAATTCCTTCACAAATTCAGATTCCAGGCTTTGAGGTAGGTCTCAGTGTTGCCTTTTTCTCTGTCTCAAACTGTTGTCCATAGTCAGGATTTGCAATACATGTGTTCTCGGTGTATGAATCTCTGAGATAGTACAGGGTGAGCTGTTAAAATAAGTAAGTTCAGGTCTTAGGACATTAAGTTATAAAATCTCATCAGAAAAGAAACGCAGAGATTTTAGAGTTGATGAGTAAGAAATGGTGTCAGAATCACCAGGAAATACCATCAACATCAACTCAGAGACTGGGAATATGCCAGAGTCTTCAGGAAGACATCCTGCAGAGCAGTAGCATGTGCCCTGTGATAATCCAGTTTGTGGGATGAAGCATTCTGTGTCATGTTCTGACCCAGAACGTGCTTCAGATCCTCACACTGATGGCTCTTCAGTGCTGGGGGCTTTTCTGTGTGCTGAGGAGTTCAGGGAGTGCATTTTTGGCTTGCATAGGGAGCACAAATGTGCTGTTCACTTAAAGCAGGGTCTCCTGTTGTGAAGCTTTCCCTCTTTGTGAGGTGGGATATTCTCTGCTGGTGTATCTTCAGTTGTTCAGGTGGTAGAAACTGGATTTTCTACATGTTATTGGGACTGTGATTTGAGGAGCCTCAAGACAGTGTGTACAGTACCTAGAAAATGCTGGTTTTTCTCTGCGTGAAGCCTGTGGGCAGACAAGTGAGTCTTCTGAAAAACAGGGAATTAGCACAAAGGAGAATATACATCCACTCCCACTGGGATGGATTTTTAATGCTCCCGGTGTTCTTTGCTTTGGGTTGTGGTATGTCTTCAGAAGTCCTCACCATGCCCAGAGGAATCTGCACTTCTTACTTGCACCTTTAAAAGAATCAGTAGGCAAGCAAGGTATTGGGATCTCATAGTTATTGGGCCTGTACCTTTTTGATGCCTCTGGACTTACTATGCTAGCTCTTCTTGTAGTAGCCCGTGAAGAACATGGAAGCTCACACAAGAGTCTTACTGGCCTTTGATTTGTAAGACTCCCCTTATGGGACTCGGTGAAAGAAGTCCCATGAAGAACAGAAAGCTATTGCTGGTAGTTTGGAAGGGACTTGTTAGGAGGCTCAGAAGAACCTCTGTCCATTTCACATGAGCCAAAAGTGCTTTAGAGAGAGACTTGCAGGAATTCAGGCTTGGTGTCTCTATTTTTACTTGGTTTGTAAACTTTGTCAAGGATAGCAGGAGTCTGATGAGATGCCTCCTTTTGCCCATCCTTTCTTTGGCCAGAATAAGATATGGAATTGGTGGTGGACCTAAAAGTGCTATGGCTGCCTTTGGAGTAGTTGTACTAACTCAAGGGTCTCAGCTTTCCAAAGCACACCCAGCACTAAAACTACCAAACTAAGCAGAACACTTCCAAAGGTGTGGAAGGAGGATGTGTCCTGGTAGGAGCCAGCAATGAACGCAAAACTCTTTTCCCTGAACTTCCAGTTTTTCTGCAGTGAGGGACAAGAGCAGTTCCCTGGGAAATCCTGTCCTTTCAGCTGCTTGGCTGTGGCACAAGGTTGCAGATCCCTCAGCAGGGTGCTGGAAGAGCACTCTGTCCCCTTGGCCATGAAGGAAAAAGTGCTCTGATGGTTTCTGCAGTGGAGAAAGTCCACATTTCCTATTGCTTGCTTCTTGACTTTAAAGGGGTGTTAATATTAACCTCTAAGTCTATGAACTTTTTTAGCCATAGTCTGGAGTAATACTCCAGCAAAGTTAAGAGCAGCTTTTATTCTGCCATGCTGGACAAGGTGGGATTCTTTAAATGTGGTCTCGGTGTATGACCAACAGCACATAACACACAAGGGGTTCTGGATTACCACAGGCAGTGACCCAAGCCTGCCACTGTATTCCTGATTCTCCTTTTTGTTTTCTTTGGTGCTGTGAATGACTGGAAATGATAGAACAAGGTTCTGTTGATTTGGAAAGAAATGAGGAATGCATAACTGAATCACTGCACTCCTGAAAACTCTGGTTAGCTTTGGATATCTTGGGTATCTGGAAACTTTGGGATGATTAACATTAGAAACGTTAGCTACAGCATGATAAATCATGAATGGGTCAAAAGCTTCTTCAGCACAACTGAAGTGTTACTACTCCACTAGTAACTGTGTGAGCTGTACTGGTTTTAAACAAGATATAGATTCAAGCATGCATTTTAATTATACTTCTCTTTTTAATACTATAAAAACCCCAACTTATTCAGTCTAGAAAAACCCCTAATCCTGGTATTAATGAAGCCATGAGGATTTGTAATGATTTGCATATTAATGTACAAGCTACAGTAAATGGAGAACTGCTTGCCCACAAAATACAGTAATGTTTAATCTTTTCTTCAATGAAACACAGTAATATACTGCAGTATAGAAAAATAAATGCTTATGCAATTATAGACCTGTTGATAGTACTGATATTATCAGCTATGTACTTCATACATATACTTCAGTAAGTATGCTGTGTTAGTTCATGTAGATGTGTCAGCTAGACATCCTTGTCAGGGCCACATACATAGAGTTTATGCCATCTGTTCTATGACTGTGCCTGTAACTGTTTTAGAACCTGTTGATCTTTTTAGCTCTAAAATGAGTGAATAGTTGTACTCTGAATTCAATAAATACTCATGGTAAACCCTAACTCTAAATGTGTTGGTCTGTGCTCAAAATTGAAGCAAGCAGTAAGGAAGGCAGAAATAAAGATGCTACAGTGTACAAACAACAGAGGTTTTCCTGCATAACTCACTGAGTTATATGAGAACTGGGGAAGAGGGAGCTGTATAGGCTGTGGTATCCCCCAGATTTCCCAGAGTCAGACAAGTGTATTGCTTGTTCAACATGGCAGGTAGCACAAAAACTAGGGGCAAGAAAAAGATAGTTCTCATCTCCACTAACTACATGTCTGAGAGGTCAATTCTCTCTGCTAGAATTTGGCCTCAGTTTCCAAAGACAGACAAGTATTTTGAGTCTGCATAAACCTGACTGTGACTACAGCCTGGGTCTTGAGCAGGTCCTGAAACCCAGGGAGGTCAGCACCTTCCTCACTCACACAGCGTCTGTTTTCTTACTTCCTAATGCAATTTCCTCTTGATTTTCACAGCAGGAGGAATAACAGACCTGAACTCCAAATCATAGTCTCTAGGAATGCATGTGAAAATGTTTATCAGGATGTTTCCTAAGACTTGTTTCTCTTCCTAACTTAAAATTGTATTTGTCTAGAGTTTAACAGATGCTGTTTCCATACCCAGTTCTCAAAGTCATTCCCATCTCTTCCCCCCTTCCCGAGTGCCTCCCAGTTGAGTGTCAGTTAAAAACATGTCACGGTGTGGTCATTGTGTAACTCCTATTCAAAGTCCATGTCATTTAGGCTTTCATTGGCAGCTATTTTGTGCCATTAAGAAGTTCAAGACAGCAATTTGTGAGTCTTGCTCAGCCAAGTAGAACTGTGAAAAAAAGGAGTTATTTCAAAAGTCAATTAATGGTGGTCTGTCGGAGTGCTCCTCATTCAGGTTTTCTGCAGGCCTTGTCATGGGCTCACATCTGTCAGCCCAGTGTTTCCCAGGCTGCTATCAGATGCCGTTACATTGAAATAAGGGGTTTATTCACACCATTTACTGGACTCTGTGTGGCAGACACATTTGTGCATCATTTTACGGTGCAACAATTCCATTTACATAAAATATAGGCAATTATGTGAATCCAGCCAAAGCACTGAGGGAGGGTGGGAGGAACCACCATTAAAATAATAAAAGCTAACTGAAAAGAAGCAGATAATTTAGGTGAAAATACCATCATGAGCAACTCCTGATCCTAAATTAGTTCAATAGAATGTTAAGGAGGTGAGTTAGTTGTATTATGTCTGTGTTTGTACTAAACTCCTTCATGTTTTTCAGTGTAAGAAATGAATTGTACTTTTTACAGAACCTACATTCCATTTTAAAAATAAAGTAGCTCCTGGTGGAGGAAGGAAGTGGGGATTTTGCTTTAGGGTTAGGTTTTCCCCCTTACTTTATAACTTGAGACAAAACGTAAATGTTAAGTATGACTGTACTAATTACAGGAGCATAAATTACATCGCTCTAAATGATCACTGCAATGTACTGAAACCAAAACTCATCACTGTGAAATGAAGAAAAGCATCAGAAAAACTTAAGCATTCTTAACTCTGACTTCCCAGGAGTGCTTTGGAAGCCTTGCTAGATTTCAACAGAATGAGATCAAGACCATTAAAAAGGAAGAAAAGACAGACTCTTGGTCAAGGGCAGAGAAAAAACTATTCCTCTCCCATGCTGAAGTTAAGCATAGAAATCTCAGTGCAGAGTGAACTCCTAGGAGAGTTGTTACAACATGGGCTCCCTCACTGACACCAGAAGGTATGACTTACTTGAGTCAGGGGCAAAGCTCAGCATGAACCCCCAATTTCAAGACTTTGGCTCACAGCTCTTGTGCCTTCCCAGTAGAACCCCCAAGGTCTCTGAAGGCCATGACTTTGCCATTTTGTGCTGTGACAGAAAACTTACTGTCCTACTTGGTTGTACAAACAAGGTTCTTTTCCTTTTGTCTGAGACAAAAGTTGAGCTCACATTGCAGCGAAAAAGACCAAA